ATAGTTTTGACTTCTTGGCTGTGAACTAGATTGCCAGCCTTTCTGGGTTTATTCAAACCACCAACCTTTAGGTTAGCAATGCAACACACACCATCTGCAATGTGACCTGCAGGGATAAAGGGACATTTTATTCCTGTCCACGCAGTGGATACAACCCTACAGTCTCTGAATTCAGAGAGGAGCAGCCCGGGGTGTGGAGAGCAACAAGGCCCCTCCTCCTCCCCTTCTCTCTCCAGGAACTTGAGGTTGAGGTGAACCCTTGATCCTGGCATGGGTTCCACCTATCACCCTCACTTCAATCCACCCTCTTCCATCCCACAGAGGGTGGAGGGTTCTCCTGGACTCTGCTCCTCCCCAGCCTGGGACTCCATGCCAGTCCCAGATAGACGTAGGCACCCACTTCTGAGAGTCAGCTGATGGGGCAGCCATGTTAGTCCTAGCAGCCACGGCTGGGCCTCTGCTCCTGTCTCTTGGGTCTTTCCTTTTCCTGGCCCGTGGTGTTCAGCAAGTCTCTGCCTCAGTAACCACTGCTAAGCAAACAACTCACAGGTTTGGCTGGGACTGTGGTCAGAGGTTCTTGAACCCAGGACTGTTGTCATCAAAGGAAAAATCAATCCTTCCCCTCCTCTGATGAACACATTCACTACCATGGAGTCAAATCTGACTTATGTGACCCTATAGGACTAAGTGGAACCCCTCCCCATAGGGTTTCTGAAGCTGTTAATCTTTATGGAAGCATACCACCCCATCTTTCTCCCTCAGAGTGGGTTTGAACTGCCAACAAGAGCTACTCCCGCTGATGATAGTGAGTCAATATTTTATATACAAATTTTCAAACCATGATGTGAACTGTGCCCCGGCGGCAGTTATGGGCTGATCACCTAGAGGTCGGTAGTTAGAGCCCACGCAAGAAAGATGAGGCAGTCTACTTCCGTAAAGACAAGTTACGGTGGGTTTTGATTATGGTGTGTGAGTTGATTTGATATGTCATCTTGTGGTGCCTAGTTGTTGGGTCAGTTATGGTGGAGATGTGGCTGTGAAGGTGTTTTGTAGACGTGCTTAATATTAAACAGAGGTGATTCCTCTTGATAATGTTGAAGACCTACAAAACAAACACTAAGGTTTCCCAGAGGAATTTTGCCTCAAGACCATAATATGTCATTTCCACCAGAGTTACCAAGGAGCTCTGGTAGCATAGTGGTTACAAATCAGATTGCAAACCACAAGGTCAGCAGTTCGAAACTACCAGCTGTTGCACGGGAGAAAGATAAGGCTTTCTGCTCCCGTAAAGATTTACAGTTTCAGAAACCCTGCACAGGGTCACTGTGAGTCGGAACCGACTCCACAGCACATAAAAACAACAACCTGAGTTTCCAGCCTGTCTACCTGCCCTATAAACTTTATTTAGACCTGTCAGTCTCTTCACTCATGTGAATCTGTTAAAAATAATTCTCTCTCTATATATATATCTAGGGTTCCTGGCTGGTGCAAATGACTACTAATTGAGAAGTTAGTGGTTGAAACACACCCAGAAACACCTTGGCAATCTTTGGAAAATCCTATGGTACAGTTCTATGGTCTACACTAGGGATTCCTATGAGTTGGAATGGACTCAATGGCAACCACCGAAAGTCTCAGGTACAGGAACTCCAGATCAGCTGTATTCACTCAGCTTGGGGACCTTGCTGATCTGCAGTTGGCAAAGTATGGCCCACACCAGTGTTCACGGGCTGCCTGTGTTCTACTACTGCTGGGGGTTCATGAGACCTCCCCTCAGTGTCAATGTTCAACTGAAGGTGTTCACCTGGTCTTAAGTTTGGAGTGGCCAAGACCTGTCAGAACGCCTGATGCAAACCTGTGAAAGCCGGAGCCTGTGTAAGGTGGAGACCTGTCTGAGCAGGAACAAATATGTCCCACTAAAATGGGTGACAGTGTTTCTCTGCTAGTCATAAGGTTTCCAGTGACTAAATATTCAGAAGTAGTTCATCACTCCTTCTTCCTAGTCTGTGTTCATCTGGAAGCTCACTGTCCACCATGGGTGACCCTGCTGGTATTTAAAATACCCGTGGCATAGCTTCCAGAATCACAGCAACTCATAAGCCATCACAGTAATACAGACAGACATGTGCAAGCCATGGTATTTTCAATAACCTCATATGCATGTGAAAGATGGACAGTGAATAAGGAAGACTGTAGAAGAATTGATGCTTTTGAGTTATGGTGTTGGAGAATATTGAGTGCCATGGGCTACCATAAGAACCAATAGATCTGTGTTGGAAGAAGTGCAGCCACAGTGCTCCTTGGAAGCCAGGATGGCCAAACTTCATCTCATACTTCAGGCATACTGTCAGGAGGGCCCAGTCGCTGGAGGATATCATGTTTGGCAGGGGGTAGGGTCAGAGAAAAAGAGGAAGACCCCAGCGATATGGATTGGCAGCATCGACAGACTCAAGCGTGGTGATAATGAGGTTGGCCAAGGATTGGGCAGTGTTTCATTCTGCTGTGTATAAGGTCGCTATGAGTTGGTACCAACTCAGTGACACCTAACAACAACAAAATGGGTGACAGAAAAGTAGGGAGATTATACCCTGTTAAGGATGGAAAACCTGAAAGACCTGAAAAAACAAAACATGAAATTCACTGTGCATCTCCATGATGCAGGTGGGACACTGGACAAGGTGAGATCACAGCCAGGGACCCCATCAGAGATGCCAGCATGGCCCCACCTGCTCCCTGCTGATCCGCTCACTCTCTATAGTCAATCCTGATAGAGATCCTACAAGAGAGAGTAGAACTGCTCCATGGGGTTTCCAAAGCTGTCCGTCTTTATGAAAGCAGACCACCTTGTCTGTCTCCTGAAAAACAGCTTCAAACCTACTTCAAAAGTTTTCACGTAGGCTCAAACTGCCTACTTTTTGGTCTGAAATCCAGTGCTTAGCCCACTGAACCACCAGTGCTCCCAGCACTCCCAAATATACCTTTGTGGAGGTGGAATTCTTTCCAGATGTACTAAAGAAGTCTCCTGCCAGCAGGAGATGCTGCTGTTTGGGTGCAGAGGACTAACTCTTACAAGCAGGCTGCTCTCCTCACCCCCTTGGTCCAGGGCTGAGCGCTTCAGGAACCAAGATGTGCAGCAAGGTCTCATCTCCATCCCCAACTACCACCACTGCCACCACCGCCACAGGCCTGGAAAGGGGAAACCTGGTGCTGGGAATGGCCAGTCAGGACCCAGGTCCCCACATGCTCGTGAGACCCAGAGGGCTTGCCTCAAAATGTATCTAGGACTCGGGGGCAGCAGGACATTGTGCAAAATGGAGTCGTTCCACAGGAAGGTGAAGGCTGCAGTCACTCCCCAGTGACAATGTTTATTGAGAATGGCTTGTTACAAACAAAATATATTTATGTATAAAACCTCTGCGATGCAAAATATCCCTTTTGCTCCCCATGGTTGGAGTTGGACTCTGGTTTGTGGACAGGTGGGTGTGCCATGCGCTGTGGGCACAAGTCCCTGATGTTGGGTCATATTTTGTGCAAGAAGGCATCAGATCAGGGTCTGTGTCCTGCCTCCTGGCCCTCCCCAGGCAGACCAGACAGTTCCAGGGTGGGCATCCTCCAGCTTGGGGGTTGCCCTGAGAGCCATCTTTCAAGCCTGGAAGAATATGTGTCCCATGATGAGCCAGGTGCTGTGACCACTATGGGCCATACTTCCACATGACCCATGTGTCTCCTGACAGTCCAGCCACTGCACAACTTGCCCCCACACTTAGGCTTCCAGAAGCTTCCTCATCCTCCTCCAGACACAACAATCTGACTGACCACTCCTGGCCTCGCCTCTCCCGAGGCAGCCAGGCCTCACAGCTTCCACACCCAAGTGTGGGGCTGTGGGACCACTGGCATTAAGGCAAGGGAGGCGCGGCCTGGCTGCAGCCAACAGTCCCAGAAGTCAGGGTGGCTTTCCAGCCCCCAAAGTTACCCAGCATGCCAATGCCTCCCACTGACCAAAGGATGATTCTGGTGTGGAGAGGCAGTGTGGTGGTGACAGCCCCAGAGGACGGGTGTGCTCTACTGGACAGCCAGGCTGGTCTGTGAGAGGACCAGCACCCAGACCCCCTTCTCTGAGGAAGGTAAACCTTGGCTGGCTGCCCTGCCTGTTGAAGAGGTGCTTGTGGTTCGGAAGTACCTGCAGTTGCACTATTATTGTCTGACGTGAAGGTGACCCTCATGCCCAAAGATGAGAGGGAGAGAGAGCTGCAGCTTACGCAGAGGGGTGTGTGATCCTAGGTGGGTGTCCCTTCTTCTCTGTCAAGACCCAAGTTCTGTGCAATGGGTCCTGACAGGCACAAGCTAGAGCTGGCCCGAGACGGGGGACCCCAGCACTCAAGGTCCATCAGGCTGGACGGGCCTCAGTCAGTACCAGGAAGCCTCATAGGTACAGGGGCTCTTTGGGGCCATAGCAGCTGCTCTAGGAGCTCCCAGAGGGATGGGGACTACCACAGCCCGAGAGTCCAGAGCTGGCGTACCTTGGAGGGCTGGGTCTTGGAGCCTGTTTCCCTGGGACTGGGGCTCTGCAGGGCAATGGTGTGAGGTGTGCCTACACCGGGCCTGTAAGAGACCTGGGCCTGCTGGGGCTAGGGAAGGTGGGGGGCAGGGGAGTTTGTGAGGCAGCAGCAGCAGCAGGGAACCCCTAGAGGTGTGGGAACCCTACAGCACTTCCCTAGAAAATGAGCGGTGAGGACAGCTTTTGGTAGGGCCTGGGTGCCACTCTAACAAGCAGCCTCAGTTAGCAGCCTCCCTCTCCAGGGCTCAGGTGCACAGCCAGTTCCATGGGAAAGACATGCAGGCCTCTCGTTTGTCTAGGCAACAAGGCCCCTTGAGCTGGGATCCTGGGGGAGAGCCTCTCCGCAACCAGCAGTGGCAGGGCTCAAGCCATCTCCCAGAGCCGGTCTGCAGCTCAGCTCTCAGCCCAGCAAGCAGGCCCGGGGCTCCCGACTGGCCTGACAGCACCAGGCCCCATCGTCAGCTGTCCAGATAGACAAAGAGAATGTCCTCGTCTGTGCCATAGCTGGTTCGGGCCTCCTCGAAGTTACTGACACTGGTGCTGCACATACCTGTGAGGACAGAGGGCAGCGATGGCTCTATGGTAGGAAGAGGGAGCTGTCCTGCTGCTGACTCTGGCCGCCCCCACCCCCAAGGCTTTAATTCAATTCCAGTCTGTTCCAAGCTCACGTTAATCTCTTAGCCTCCCTAATTCTACAGAGAGTAAAATGGAGACCTAAAAGGTGAAGACGTCAATGTGTTTCCCTGTGCCCCAGGTCTGCCCTCTCCCCACCTGGCCCCCCCACCACACAGCTGCAGTATGGAGCATCAACTTCCCCTGGAGGATCTAGGAGGTTATCTCTTTAACAGTGAATAATTGCCATCCCGTTAGCAGGAACCATACCTTAGGGATCTTTTTCTTCCTGGCTGGTTCTAACTAGGATTTGCTTTAGGGAATTACTGAACCTGAGGGGCCAGGGGCTCCGTGTTTGTACTCAGCTGGTCAGAAGAATAGGTGGCTGTTGTCTGAAGTGAGAGTGCTCTTAGAGAGGACTGTGCTCTCTGCCTGTTTAAGGGGGCTGGGCCAGATGAATGTGTACGTGTGCTGAGTGTCCAAGGAGTGCTGGCCTGTGGCGTGAGAAGGGGCACTGAGCCTCTGCAGTGATGTGGGGTCAGGGGTCCAGGGGGCTAGGGCCTGGGAGGTGGTATGGGGCTGTGGCCTGGGCAGTGGTATTGGGCGGGTGTGTGTGGAGCGATTGGGCCTGAACAAAGGTTGTTGTTGTTATGTGCCGTGGAGTCAGTTCCGACTCATAGCGACCCTGTACAGGGTTTCCTTCCGAGGCTGTAAATCTTTACGGAAGCAGAAAGCCTCATCTTTCTCCCGCAGAACAGCTGGTAGTTTCCAACTGCTGACCTCATGGTTCACTGCCAGATTCATAACTACTACGCTACCAGAGGCTGAGAAGGGAGGAGGCGGGGCCTGGGCAGTGGTGTAGAGCTGGGGACTAGAAAATGGTAGGGGGTCATGGGTAGGCCAGGGCCTGGACTGTGGTGTGGGGTTGGGGATGGGACCAGGCCTGGGAAGTGGGGTGCAGCCGGGAGGAGGCGTGGCCTGGACAGTGGTTGGGGGCTGGGAGTGGGGCCTGGGCCGGGGGGCGGGGCCAGGGCAGAGGGGGCAGAGCCTGGGCAAGAGTGTGAAGTGGATGGAGCAAGGTGGTGGCTGGTTAGCCTGCACCAGGATGGGCACGGAGGGAATTGGGGAACAAGGTCTCTGGGGCACTCACGGTCGGCGTAGGCTGGATTGTTGTAGAAGATGGAGCCGGCAGTCCGGCTATAGCCGCGCAGCACAATGAAGTGGCCCTGGTAGTCAGGGGTGCGGCAGAAGCAGCGGTGGCCGCGGGGGGCGAAGCAGCAGTACTTAACGGGGCTGGAGCATAGGTCGCAGTGCAGCACGCCTGAATTCACCAGCACGATGGCCACGTGGCCCTGCGCAAGGTGCGCCTGGATATCCTGCAGGCTCACCGCGCTGGGTAGGGGGAGATGGGGTGGGGACATCAGGGACTGCCACGCTGACCGCCCCGCCCATAGTCTGCACTGAGCTCCTTCAAGTTACGGCTTGGATCGAACTGTGCCCCTCAAAAAAAAGCCGTTCCCATTCTAACTCCTGGCACCTGTCACTGTGACCTGATTTCTACCTAGGGAGCATCTTTGCAGATGGAGCATCAACTTCCCCTGGAGGATTGAGATTTACTCACAGTGGATCAGACCCATCTACCCCCTGCCCACCAGTCAATTCCCACTCATAGAAATCCTACAGGACCGAGTACAACTGCTCCTTAGGATTCTGAGGCTATCTTCACAAGAGCAGACAGCCTCAGCTTTTTCTCGAGAAGTGACTGACTGCTGATCCGCAGTACAATGCTTAACACACACCACCACCAGGGCTCCATTAATGAATTAGACAGGGCCCCTAATCCAGCAAGACTGGGTGGATATCTGGACACACACACACACACATAGGGGAGAAGGTCACATGAAGACAGAGGTAGGGGCTGTGATGTATTGATCATCCCAGGATCCAAAGGACTGCTGGTCATTCCAGAAGCTGGCGGAGGCAGGAGAGGACCCTCCCCTGGAGCCTCCAGACCCAAGAGAGTGTGTACTTCTGTTCTCTCAGGCCCCTGAGTTTGCATTAACTTGTGATGGCAGCTTGAAGTAGCTCAGACACTACATAAGAAAACTCCACAGGCTACCACCCTCCCTTTGTGCCCTGTGAGTCTGGGGGTGTGCATGCACTCAGGGAAGGGTGGGGGATGGAAGACTCACCATTTCTCCACCAGCACCTGGCAGGCCTTGGCCTGTGCAAACAGCTGGTTCACCCGGGTTTCTTCGGTGTCAAAGTGCTTCCTGTAGAAGGACTGAAGGGAGAGGGGCAGGCTGAAGCAGACACCACCCAGTGGCCCTCACCCTGCTAGGAAACACACTGGGAGACGCAGGAGAGGAGATGGAGGAAAAGAGCCGCATTGGGTCATGCAGCACCTGCCCAGAACCAAGTCTGATCTGAGTGTGGAGGGACCAGTGGGCAGGAGGAGGTGGAAAGAGGATGCTGCAGGAGGGGCCCCTTGGGGGCAGGCAGAGTGGGCAAACTGGACAACAGTGTTTGAGGCAAGGGCCTCAAGGAGACCGAGCTCCATGGGAGAAGTGAGGAGATCCTGTCCTTACGCCCATTCTCTGCCTTGCAGTCACGGGGAGTAGGCCAATCCGAAAGCCCCTACCTGTGGGGTCAAAGGTGTGTGAGGCCCCTCTCCCAGACTGTCCCTGCGGCAGGTTGGAGTCATGCTGGTCCTACAGGAGGCAGAGACAAGTACGGGGCGGGGTGCTGGAAGGGCCAGCCATGTTGGAATTATTTTTTAAAGGAAGGAAAGAATGCTGGCTTTCTCCTAGAGCACCGCGTTCCCAGTTTGGAACTGCTGCCCCTTTGGGAAGAAAGAAAATGGGACCATGATGGCTGGGTGAACAGAGTGGACTGTGGCCCTGGGATGGAGTAGCCATAGGAAGGCGGCCTAAGACAGTCTCCAGAAATCTGGGGTGGCAGGCCAGGAGGTGCCCCTGGGGCAGGAGTGGTAGGACGACCCCATGACTTGCTGCTTAGATGCTCTGGGCAAGGGTGATGACTAATTTTATAAGGGACTTCAAAAAGCTCATGGAAAACTGGAATGAAAAGATAGTGACATTTTCCCAGTATTTAAAGTGTTCTCATATATGTTAACTTGGTTTAGCTGCAATTTCCAGTGGTTTGGCCAAACCTAGATTGTTGCAATGGGGTAAGCGTTGGGCTACTAACCACAAGGTTGGCAGTATAAACCTACCAACCACTCCATGGAAAAGATGAGGCAGGCTGTCTGCTCCTGTAAAGACTGATAGCCTCGGAAACTCTATGGAGCAGTTCTACTTGGTTCTACACGGTCACTGTGAGTCAGAATGGAATCAACGGCAGTGGGCTGCTGCTGGTAGACTAGTTGCTTTTACATAATGAAACCGGATGCAATCAATCCACCGAAAGGGGTGTTTCTTAGAATACAGTCTATTACCAGACCATAAAGCCAAAACCCCACTGCACTTGAGTTAACTCTGACTCATAGCAACCCTACAGGACAGAGTAGAACTGTTCCTTAGAGTTTCTGAGGCTGTCAGTCTTTATGGGAGCAGGAAGCCTCAGCTTTCTCCTGGAGAGTGTCTGGTGGGTTTGAAACGCACACCTTATGATTAACAGCCATTTTGGCAGCACTTGCTCACTCTCTCTCTCTACTCTGCACTCTCCCTCTTACCTGACCTTTGGCTCCTGGGAGTCTCCAGCCTGCTGCATGACCTCCGGAGTTTGGACTTGCCAGCCCCACCATCCTGTGAGCCAATCCCTGAAGCATTTATCAATCTCTCCCTGTACCCTCCATCCATTCATTCGTCTACCCATCTCATGGGTTCTCTTTCTCTTAATTAATGACTGAGACAACAGGCCAGGCTCAGAGACTGCCTGGTCTAATCTGCCTATAAACCCTGCTTACAGCAGATCTGTCACTACTCCCTCTTCCTCACCTGATTCTTGTAGCCCTTGTCGACGCCCAGGGTCTGGGTGCAGAATCGGTGCCTCACACCAAAGTGGCGCATCAAGTAAGCAAGGTCAATGGTCCAGATGCTCCTGGTCAGCTGCAGTGCCTGCAGGGCGCTCTCAAACTCGCTATCGTCCAGCTGGCCCAAGTACCTGTGGTACATCAACACTGAAGCCAAGCCCAAAGTCCTGCCTCTGCTGTCTGGGGCTGGGGCTCTTCTAGAGTATCTCATAATGTGTGTCCTCCATCATACACCAGTCTCTCTGGCCTCCCTAATTTCCTCCTTACAGTGGGGATTCAGAGCATAGAACAGAGAGGGGTAGCCTATGAATTTCCAGGCAGCAGACTTAAAGTCCCTGCACATGGTGACAGCCATGGTCCCTTCTAGTCCCAATGCCCATGCAACTGGAGGCCTGATAGAGAGACCTTGCCAGCTCTACATATGGGGACTACCTGTGGAGGGAAGCCAGTCACACCCTCCCCTAGCCCTGACCATGAGGCCACAGGCCAGTGACCTGGTCTCCCCACCCTCCCAGGAACCCACTCACCATCGCCCCCACAGGACAACGAGGCTAGAGGAAAGTAGCCCTGCCGTCCTCCCCACCCCTCACCAGGCATCTGCTTACCGCAGCACCATCCTGGAGCAGGCCAGGCCGCAGTCCCAGTGGTACAGCTGCTGGATGACAGGCACCGGCAGCTGCACGAAGTCCCCTGCACAGAGTCCTGGGGTTACCACCTCCATCCCATCAGGACTCTGCAGCCGCTCTCAAGGGCCTGTCCACAGACCTCTATCCCTCTCCCCCGCAAAACCAAGGGTCTCCCCACATTCAGAAGGAGTGGCTGGGTGCCACTTAGAACCCTCAAAAGTAGTGGGTATCATGGCTGCTGCCTCCTCACCTGCCCACCCTCAGTAGACTTACTCCAGGCAGACCCGTCCCCTGCTGAGACCCCGAGGCCTGAAGCACCTCTGCAGGAACACTCTTAAGGCTCACTGTGGCCTCGGGCACTACTTCCTAGGATGCCCTCCACTAGGTCCAATCCCCCATGCACACTCTCCTTCTGAGCCCATCCAAGTGGTAGACACTCCAAGGAGGCCAGAATGGGACTGTTCTACTTCCTGTTGTATGCAACTCTAGGGCCAGAACAGTGGGGTCTGATTCCTGAGGGGTGCTGACTCCAAAACCCCCAGGGCCCTGGAGGTGTGGGGAGAATCTGGAGGAGTGTGCCAACACCCCACCCCCACCCCATACAGCCACTGAGGGTCCACTGTTCGGGCTTAGGCAGTGGGGGCAGCTCCAAAGTGGGGCTGTTATCCGACTCAGCCACTGAAAATTGCAGACAGTACCCTGCAAGAGGCTGATCTGTGCCCAGGAGATCCAATGTTGGGGACACCGATCAGCCCTGATGAAGAGTGAAGCCATGCAAGAAAAATCAAGTGCTGGGTCAGGCAGAGGGCCCTGGTGCTACAGTGATCAAGTATTTGGCTGCCAACCAGACCAGAGCTGGGGGCTCGGCCCACCCGGAGACACTTTAGGAGTGAAATCTGACACTTTGCTTCCAAAAGGTCATAGGCTAGAAACCCTTCAGCAAACAAGGGGTTGTACGTAGTAATGGACTCAATGGCACACAACAGCAGTGGAGAAAATGGTGAGGGGTTTATTGCAGGCTAAACGCTGTCATAGTTACTCATGATATGTTCAAGTCCTGACCCCTACCGCCTGTAAATGCAATTTATCTAGAAGTAGGGTCTTTGTAGAAGGAACTGAGTTAGGATGCGATTAGCCCCAAACTGGCATCTTTATAAAGACAGAGACATGGGGGAAGGTGGCCACATGGAGACAGAAGTAGAGAGTGGAGTGAAACAGAGACAAGCCTGGAAGGCTGGAGCCACCAGGAGCTGGGAGAGGCCTTTGAGAGAGCCTGGCCCTGCCCACACCTGCATTAGAACTTGTAGCTTCCAGAACTGACAGTGCAGGTTCCTGCTCCGCAGAGAACTCCTTATAGCAGCCTTTCCAAGTGAAGCCAGGCTGTGCCCCAGGGGTGGGTCAGGAGAGGCTGTGAAGAGATGCCTCTAGAAGGGTGAGCAGGGACAAGTGGGGCTGAGGTGGGCGAACCGGCATGGGGCTTCCCAGGCCTCTCCCCACAGGATCCCAGGAACCTGGAGTCTAAAGAACCAAAAGGGACTTTCCTGCACCCGTTATCACCCATTACTTATGAAGGACTCCCTCTCATTGCAGGGACCCAGCTGCTCAGCTCAGCTCAGGGGTCCTCGGGACTCTCCATGCTGTGCTTCTGGGGGCTCTCCAGTCCCAGCTCCCAGTGTCTGTGCGCCAGGAGAGGGCTGGGGGCTGCCCTGGGCTTTCCACCCTGTCTGTGCTGTCCCTGGCCTGGCCTCACTCCCAGCTCCTGTCCTGTTGGCCTGAACTAGCCCCAGCCTCCAGGCCTGCCTCTATGGCCTCTGCCTCTGGAGGACAGGCTCTGTGCCCTACTGGACTGAATGTGTGTTCCCTGGAGGCAGGGACCTGTATCTGCCCAGCCTTCCACTCCTCACCAGCACTGGCTTGCAGCAGGGCTTGGGGGCTGGACTGCTGCACACTGCCTGCTCTGAGCCATCTATCCTACTTCTTGTGCTCTGAACTGGCCACTATAGACCCCAGCCTGCAGGGTGCAGGGATACAAACAGAACCCTTCACAGGTGCTGCCATGCTCCTTTCTCCACCTGGGGCCTGGTATGCCCCTTCCTTTCATTTAGCACCCAAAACCAATAACTGTGGTGTTGACTCTGACTCATGGTGATTTTGTGTGTCAAAGGAGAAAGAATTTTCAGAAGTAGATGGTCAGGCTTTTCCTCTGAGGCATCTCTGGGTATACTTGAACTGGGGACCCTCCAGCAGCTCCCTGCTTACTCCAGGTGCCTTTGAAAGGAGCCCAGGCCTCCCAAGGTTCTCACATGCTTGCCTCCTCCCATTGCCAAGAATTAATTCTGCCTGACCTATGCTTCCACACACAGCCACGAGAGGAACTCGCCCACTGTCCCAGTGTCCTTAGAACAAAGCCCTCTTCCCTCCATGGCCCTGCCCGCCCAGGCCCCCAGCCTCTCAAGCTGCCCCAGGTACACTGAGGACCCATTAAGCTTCATGCTGTCCCAGAGCCTTCACAGGTGCAGGATTCCCTCTGCCTGGAACTCTCTCCTCGCTGTTCACAAGATTGTTTCCCAGAGACAGATCTCAGCTGTCTCCTCTTCTGAACAGCTTTACCGGACTATGACTTTTGGGAGCCAAGTGGGGGACTTTCCTTCACAGCAACCTTAGTTTCACGTAAGCCAAAACCAAACCAACCCGTTGCCCTCTGACTCATTCTGGAGCAGAACCCAGAGTTCTCTTGATTCTGTCATCTAGAGTTGCTAACAGCAAAAAATGGACTTGAAGGAATACAAGAATTAGACAGAAGCAGATCTCCAGGTCTTTCTCCCACTGAGCCACTGGGTGGGTTTGAACAACCAATCTTTAGTTTAGCAGCCAAGTTCTTAACCATTGTGCAACCAGGGCTCTATTGTTGTTGTTGTTAAGTACCGTTGGGTCAGTTCCGACTTATAGAGATCCTGCACAGGGTTTCTAAGGCTGTAAATCTTTACGAAAGCAGAAAGCTTCATCTTTCTCCCACGGAACTGCTTGTAGTTGAGGTTGGCAGCCCAACTCATAACCACTATGCTACCAGAGCTCCTTACAGGTATAAACCTCCAAACTAAACCCATTGCTGTCATCCGAGTTGGTTCTGATTCATAGTGATTCTATACACAGGTAAGAACTGCCCCCTAGGGCTTCCAAGGCTATAAATCCTTAGAGAAGCAAATGGCCATATCTTTTCCCCACGCAGTGGTTGCTTTTCCCCACGGAGTGACTGGTGGGTTGGTTTGAACTGCTGAACTTTTGGTTGGCAGCCAAGAACTCTGACCACTTGGCCACCAGGACCCCTTGTTTCCCATAACCCAAAACCCACTGCTGTTGAGTTGATTCTGACTCAACAATCTTACATTATTGCTGCTAAATGCCGTTGAATTGGTTCCAACTTAGAATTATCTTATACAGAGTTTCTGAGGAGTGGGTGGTAGGTTTGAACCACCAACCTTGTGGTTAGCAGTCTGGTGCTTAACCAACAGCACCACGTCGGGATACCACATCAGGACTACAGGACAGGTGAACAACTCTTTTGGGTTTCTGAGGCTGTAAATCTGTATGAATGCAGACTGCCTCGTCTTTCTCTCATGGAGTAGCTGGTGGGAACTACTGACCTTTCAGTTAGCAAGCCACTTCTTAACCCATGACACCACAAGTGTTCCTTTTAAGATTTCTGTGTGGCTCAAATAGTTTATGTTCCACTGCTAGCTGAAAAGCTGGTGCTCTGAGCTTGCCTGGCAGTACTGTAGAAGGCCTGACAATTTGCACTGCTGGGGCCCAACAGTGCCATAGAAGAAAGGCCTGGTGATCTGCTTCTGAGAAGATTATAGCCAAGCAAACCCTATGGGACAGTTTCACTGTGCTACACATGGTGGCTCTACGTCAGGATTGATGGCAACTAACAACAGCAGCAGTGTCTGATCTTAGCAGTAACTTAGCAAATATGTGTTGGATAAAATGAACCTACTGTGTGCCAGGCTCTGGGGACACTAAAGTGCTTAAGCCCAAACCCTGCTTATGGAGATTCATATTCTAAAATAACAAAGCAAACCAAATCTACTAACATCTAGTTCATTCCAACTTGTAGTGGCCCTATTGGGCAGAGTAGAACTGCTCCACAGTTCTTCTGGGAAGCCAGTTGTCTCCTCTTTCTCCCGTGGAGTGACTGGTGGGTTCTAAAATCAAGTATGCCCCAAATGGGCTGAGGGGAGGGAGGAAGCTCTATCTACACAGGGTACTATGCATTCATGGGGCACGCCAACATTCTCAAGCACCCCTAAATGTAGCCACACCACCTTTTTGTTTTGTTTTTCTCTGCTTTGCCTTTGCACTCAGGGGTGCCTGAGTCTGCAGCATCTTCTCTCTCATCTTTAAATGCCCTGACCCCTCTGGGCTTCAGTATAGAGTAGTTTTGGTTAATGTAGAATGGAGAGCCTCAGTTGCTATTGTTAAGTGCTATCAAGTTGGTCCCAATTTATAGCAACTCTGTATATGGTTTCTGAAGCTATAAATCTTTGAAGGAGCAGAAGGCCTTATCTTTCTTCATAAAGCAGCTGGTGGGCTTGTAGTTTGCAGTCTTATCCTACAGAGACACTGCTGTGCTCCCAATGCCTCTGTGGCAGGCAAGAAACCTCTGCTCCGAGCAGGCGCTCAGACATGCTTACCATTCTCCCAAGATGCCTAGCCTACTTGTCACCACAGTACTGTCCTGTCCCTGAGCTTTCAGACCACTGCCCTTTGTTTCAGGATGTCTCCCAACTCTGGCTAATACTGACTCTGACCACACTAGAGGGGCCATCTGTGTCCTCTGAGCAAATTCCCTCAGACTCTCAGCTACCTGAGTTCCAGAACCCTTGACCCTGAGACCCGGAAGGGCTACCCCCCCCCTCCCCATATGGCTGTCCCAGCTTTGGCCTGGGCAGGCCAGCCAACAGGCACAAAGATGTAATTCTGTGGGGTGGTGATAAGTCAGGAGAGGCCTTGGCCTTTGTTCTGGTAACAGTTTCAGTCTTCAAAGCGTAAGAGACCTCAGAGTTGAGTCTACCTGAGGGTCCTGATGTCAGCTGGCAGCTGTTCCAGGGCAGGTACTTGCCCCCTCTCAGCCTCAGTTTGCTCATGTGCACAGGGGTAACAAGAGCTGGGACAGCTCCTTCATTCAGCAGGTCATCAGGAGGATTCACTGAAGAGCTGCACACACCCCTCAGCAGTGCCCAGAAGTCCCCTAAGAATTGGAGCTGTAGCCCAGGGCAGCACCTGTTCCTCTCTGCAAGGGGACTCCTCCACTGTGATGACACTGATGGGTCAGTTCCACACACTAGGCCTCAGGGAGTCAGCACCTCTTCTCAACAGAGCAGAACTTCTCTGAGAAGCAAACTGAGGCCCAACGCACTGGCTCATCTACCAGTCGTGGTCTCCACCCCAAAGGGGCACCACCTTAGGGCAGAAAGGACCAAGAAAAAAACTAGACAAAAGCTGACCACAGTCTGGGAAGGATGGTGGAAAGGAAGGGGCGCCCTTGCTCTATGCTCCTGGGTAGTCCTCCACCCTTTATTGGGGCCCTCACTATCCCAGCCCCAGGTCCCGAAAGGGCAGATCATCCAGACGTCCCCGACTGGACTTCTCGCTTCCGAGGACAGACCCCACCCTACCCCACTGTCGGTGGTGGGGACAGAGCCTCCACTTCCAGTATGACAAGGAACCCCGATGGGCAATAGGGGCTGGAGCGTCCAGCTGGCCTTGTGGCCAGGCGGCGGTCGGCCCAAGGTCGCGCGGTCCGCCCCTCATTTCCCCGGACAGGGTGGAGGGTCCCAGGGAGGCACTGACCAGGATCGAGCGGTGGCCCCGCAGCCTCCGCCTCCGTCCTCATGACCCGAGCGGCGCAGAGCGCCCATGGCCCCGGCCCCGCGCAGGCTGCGACTAGGGTTGGGGCGGGAGCGCGGCGGCTGCGTGTCGAGCCCCGCCCCGGACCTGGCTGACAGCGGACCCGGAGGCACAAGCCCCGCCCCCAATCGTGTCCTGGCCACTCGCTGTCTAGCCTTTTGAGGGCCCCGCCCCTCCCCCCTCTCCGACTTCGCGCCGAAGCACAAGTCCCACCTCTTTCTCTGAGCCCCGCCTCCAAACCTGGCGCTCTTCCTTTCAGTCAGCATCTGTCTCTGTAGACCTCACCGCCGGGCCTGCCCGGTGCAATGGTGGGACCACCAGGATCCCAGCCCCAAACCGACCCCCATGAGAGATGACCCTTGGCCTGTCCTGCTTTACTCTCGACTTCAGTTTCCCTATCCACACAATGAGCTCTCTCGCCTCGCTCGGAGTACTCCTTACTTGGCGGGGTTGGGTTCCAACGACTAAATTGTGAAGGCAGGTCCTGGCTTTTGGCCCCACCACCTGTCGCCCCACATTCCTGCCTTGCTGTCCATCTTGGCCTCAGTGTAGGGTGTCTAGAAGCAAGAACCCTCCTCTTTCCTTGTAGGCCCAAGGGTCGGTGTTTCCGGCAACACCTGGGGCCTGTCATCAGCGTTCTTTTTTTCCGGGACCGGAACTATAGTGATATAGCAAACGTTTCCCAGCCGGCTGGGTGAACAGGTAGCCGAGCAGAGACGGCGCTCACGTCTGGAGACAGGAAGTCGGCAGAGTCTGCGCGCGGTATTGTGGGAACCCGGGGTTTTCTGGGATCACGGACCCGCCATTCGCTTACCTCGCGCTTTAGCTGCTTCCAGTGTCGCTGCCGCACAGGAGAAGCGGAGGAAAAGACCACAGCCGGTGAGAAGAAGCCAGGGACGGATGAGGGGGGGCTGAGGCGCTTCTGAGGGGCTGGGGAAGGACGGAAGGCATGAGAGTGGGGAGCCCGGGCTGGCAGCTTCGCCTCACTTGCGCTTGGAAGTGAGTTTATTAGCTTTCTCCATAACGACGTGTTTCAAATTTTTTATACGTCCCACCTGAGTGGTTTTTCAAGTTTTCAGGCAATGATCTTGAAATAATATATCAGTAATTATCTCCTCTTGGAATCCCGGTGTGGCATTGGACTGATAACCACAATGTTGGCCGTTCAAACCTAGCAGCCTCTTCTCGGAAACCCTGTGCATGGGTCACTGTGAGTCGGAACCGACTCGAGGGCACTCATCAACATCTCCTTTCGCCACATACTGTATGTTGTTGTTAAATGCCGTAGAGTCGGTTCCGACGCATTAGCGACCCTGTGTAGGGTTTACGAGGAGCAGCTGGTGAGCTTGAACCGCCGACCTTGCAGTTCAAACGGCTTTGCAGTCTGGCGCATTAACCTACAGTGACAAGCCGGGACTCCACATCCTGTATAGATGGGTCTTTTTTTTACATCTGGATTCCCTCCTGCTCTCCATGCTGTTAACACAAATTTTATATGATACGACCTACTAAACTAAAGAAAACAAAACAATAATAATAAATGCTGAAACCTTAAAAAAATGTTTTAACAATAAATGATGCCACGACCTCCTTATGTAGAATCCTGTGGCGTTTTCTCCTGTCTTAAGCATAAACTCGAACTCTTATCAGGAACGAGCCCTGGTGGCGCAGTGGGCTAAGTATTGGACTGCTGATCAAAATATCTGCTGTTGGAACTCACCAGCTGCTCTGTGTCAGCAAATAAAAGTTTACAGTCTAGGAAGCCTTAAGAAGCAGTTCTACTCTGAGTCAATTTGGCAGCGCTGGGTTTGGTTCTCCGGTAGAAGTGGGTCTCCTGGAGGTCTCCTCATCCAGCCTTCAGCCTTTGCTTATCTCAGAATAAAAATGTTCAGTGCTTTTCTCTTTTAATAGGCCTAGCCAGATGCCTGCCCTGATTGACTTATCCAACAAGAGCAACCTTTCTGGTGATCACTTTGTGAACTGTGATTTTTTTTTTTCCCCCTTCAGCCTGGCTGATGATGTAAATGGGATGCCCTAGAGCACTAAATGGAGCCCTGGTGTGCACAGTAGGATAAGCACTGGACCAAAAAGTCAGTTTAACCGTAAGGTTGGAGGTTCAAACTCACCAGCTGCTCCTCAGAAAAGCTATACAGGGTCACTCTGAGTTGGAACAAACTTGATGGTATCTAACAACAACAACAACAAAGGAAACTAAGGATCCCTGGGCTGTCCTGGTGTGTCGCTGTAGGATAAGCACTGGACTGCCAAGTCAGCAGTGCAGACTCACTAGCCACTCCTTCAAAACCCTATACAGCGTCCCTATGATCAGGAACAGACTTGATGGCACTTAACAACAACAAGGGCACTATCAGTGTGTCGGCCTGCTGACCACAAGGTCAGCAGTTTGAAACTACCAGCTGTTTTGTAGGAGAAAGATGAGGCTTTCTGCTCCTGTAAAGATTTACAGTCTTGGAAACACTATGAAGGTTGCTGAGTTGGAACCAACTCCACAGCATACTACCACCACACCACCAGTAGTGTAGAACTACATGGCCAGCAATTCGAATTTGCCAGTTGCTCAGTGAGAGAAAGATGACTCTCTGCTTCTATAAAGATTTACAGCCCCAGAAACCTTATACACGGTCACTGTGAGTTGGAACCGACTCCACAGCATCCTACCACCACGAGGCCACTAGATAAAAGAGCTCTACTGGTAGTGTCCAGAAGCTAACTGAAAGGTTGACGGTTAAAATTCACCAGGTGCTTCTTGGAGAAAAATGAAGCAGTTTGCTCCCGTCAAAATGTATAGTCTAGGAAAGCTTATAGGGATAATGATGGTGGTTTTACTCTGTCCTATAGGGTCATTATGAGTCTGAATCAACTCCACGGCAGTGGGGTGAGTGTGTTTTGGTTTAGGGCACTAAATGGCTTGGCTTACAGGTATAGCCTCAGCTCTTAAATTTATTAGTGGATCCTCTGTTCTCTGTTGTCCACAGAGGTAACCACTAGCCATATGTAGCATTTTGAGTGCATTTGAGTGACTGAAGAACGAAACATTTTATTTTATCTTTTTAAATCTTAACTAACGACCTGTGAACTGTGATCAACTTAGGTCTATATTGTGGTTTCTCAAAGTCAGGTCACCTACAGCAGTGAATTGACAATTAACACTTGTAAAATATACATATCCACACACAATACTGGTTGATGGTTGCTGTGGTATAGCACTAGGATAAGCACTGGGCTGCTAACCACAAGGTTTGCAGTTTAAACCTACCAGTCTCTCCTTGGAAACCCTATGCAGGGTTGCTATGAGTCAGAACCAACTGAATGGCACTAACAACAGACGTAGTAAGGGAGATGGAAGGCACTCTTAATGCCCATTAGTTTTCTCTGTCCAGTCCATCTTCCTACCCCTCATCTTTTTTTTTCTTTTTAATGCATTATTAAGTTCTGTTGCCTTTAAATCTTGCACCCCTCCAATGTCTTCCCCTGCCCCCATTATTTTTTTTTTTTTTTGGCCGATCTCATCTTGCGTGTGTTTTGCCAGGTTGGTTCTGCCAAGCCAAGTTGGGTGCTAAACTCCTTTTTCAATCACCCAGGACTCACAGCTAAGTTTTATGGCATGCCAGGTCCTTAAGGAAGCACATGTGTGCTCTACATCCTCATGGGATCTGAAATGCAAACCCCCTCCTGTGTTTCTCTCTCTACTACAGAACTCTCTTCCTGCCAAAATGTCCATCGGTGTGCCCATTAAAGTCCTGCATGAGGCTGAGGGCCACATCGTGACGTGTGAGACCAACACCGGAGAGGTGTATCGGGGCAAGCTCATTGAGGCCGAAGACAACATGAACTGCCAGGTACCTTGCTTTGCAGCTGAGCTGGTCGGGGAGGACAAAATGTTAACAGTCCTTACTTAGTACTGATATGAGCCAGGCCTTCTTACCAGTGCTTCGGACCTGGACGTGAGCAAAAGACCACCGTCTCAAGGCAGATAGGAATGTCATTTACAAGGTTGGAATGTTTAAACTTGTCCTTTATAGTCTCCGTACCATAATTTTTTCCTATATGAGGAGGCTTCAAAATTCACGGAAAAAGATTCTATCATTTGTTAATTCTAGTTTTCCATGAACTTTTTGAAGCCCTCTCATATTTTGAGGGGCCTGTTTGAGATAAAGGAGCCCTAGTGTCTTAGTGGGTTAACTGTTGGACTGCTAACCCAAGATTGGTGGTTCAAACCCACCAACAGCTCCAAGTGAGAAAGACCTGGCAGTCTGCTCCTGGAAAGATTTACAGTCTTGGAAACCTTAAGGAGCAGTTCTGCTGTGGTTGCTCTGAGTCAGATTCATCTTAGCAGCAGTGGGTTTGGTTTTGGTTTTGGTTTGAGGTAAATGGAATTATTCCCTTCAAGTTTGGGGTCTTTGTCTATTAGCCCACACCTTTATATAGCACCTTACCGTTAGCAGAGTCTCCCACTCACTGTATTTACTTGATACCTTCTTGGGGAAAGGGTCCCATTTGATTGATTGCAGCTAGCTTGTGATGTGTCCTGATGTGGTGCTGTAGGATAAACACTAGACTGTAAGGTCTGTTTTAACCACATGGTCAACGGATCAAACTAAACAGTCACTCCTCAGAAACCCTATTCAGTTGCTATGGGCCAGACTACTCACTGGCACTAATCAATAACAACAGCATTTTGATGTATTATGGTTTGGTGATAGTTTTGTCATCCATAAAATAGAATGGGGTTAAAAGATTCATCTACTGAATGCCACTCTTAATATATGATGGCATAGTCTAGTGCCCTTTCTGTTGTGTAACTTGACCTTCTTCTGATAACCATGTGATATTAAAATCCCTTCACAAGGTGTAAGTCAGTTTGGAGCTTGTGGTAATTGTTATGACCTCCTCAGGCATGTTATCACCTGGGTATCCTTATATGTAAAGCAGGACTGATACTGGTATTGTGTCAGGTCTTCTGAGACACAGGTGCCAAGACAGGGTCGTTGTTGTTATTAAGTGTCATTGAGTCAGTTCCAGCCCATAGCAACCTTGTATAGGTTTTCTGAGGAGCCGACCTTATAGATCAAACCAACTTTGCAGTCTGGCACATTAACCCACAATACCACACCAGGACAGGATTAGAAGTGTTTTTAAAGTCTTCAACAATGTCTTCATTAAAAACAAAAATAAAAAAACCTTTCAGGAAGTCTTGGTGTGGTGCTTTAGGATCAGCACTGGACTGCGAACCACATGGTTGGTGGTTCAAACCCACCAGCTGCTCTTCAGAAATGATATACAGGGTCGTTATTAATAATGCCTGGTGGTGGTGGTGGTTGTTTGGTCGACTTGTTGGCACTTAACAACAGACATTGTTGATATAGTCTGTTTTCACTATATGTTTATATATATATATGTGTGTGTGTGTGTGTGTGTACAAGGAGTTTCAAAATCCTAGAATTGGGAAATTTAAAAGATAATGAAAATTTTTCTACAAACTTTTTGAAGCCCTTTTGTATATATAATTTTATTTTTTTTTTGATGTTGAGAATATACACAGTAGAGCATATACCAAATCAACAATTTCTGCATGTGCTGTTCAGTGACGCTGGTGACATTCTTCAAATAATCTTAATCCTCCTTTCTGAATTGTCCCTCCTCCAGAAACGTAAACTCACTGCCCACAGAGCTTAAAAGAGCACAGTGCTCAAGATAGACTGTCTTTACTGGTTAAGTTTAACAATTCTTTGGTTTCAGACTGACTGAGAGATATTTTTTATTTGAAGTTTAAAGTTTATATCAGGGCAATAGTTTCAGGGGTTTATCCAATCTCAATGGCTCCAGGAAATCTAGATCCCATGAGAGCCTGATATTCTTTACTGTACTTTCTCCTTTTTGATCAGGAATCAGGATTCTTTTGTAGACTCTCATGGCAACAAGAGGAAGTTGGTTGTGGAAGCAATTAGCCACACGCCCATTTCCTTCTCTTATTCCTGACTCCTTATTCTGTTACTCCAAGTGAACAGACTGGTTGTTGTGACTTGGATGGCTGCATGCAAGCTTTTAAGACCCCCTAGGCACTACATAATGAACTAGAAGGGGGCTTTTAAAAATCAGGAAGTGTGAAACTTCTTACTTTATTATTTTTCATCATTGTTTTGCCTGTTTCTCTAAAGAAGATTGTTGTAATTTTGATCACTATTACATTGCATATTTAGATTGTTTTGGGTAATATTGGTATCTTAACAATTGTAAGTCCATGAATGTGGCGCATTTTACCATTTATTTACGTCTGTAGTCACTTTCACTGGTGTTTCAATTCTCATTGCATAGGTTCATCACATCTCTAGTTAAATGTCTTCATAGGTGTTTTAGTTTATTAGATGCTATTGTAAATGGAAATGTTTTTCTGATTTTCTTTTCAGATTTCTCATTCCTGGTATACAAAAATCCAATTATTTTTGTTTGTTGACCTTGTACCCAGCAACTTTTGTTAAATGTCTCTATTAGCTTAAAATTTTTCTTGCATACTCTTTGAGATTTTCTGTATGTAGGATCATGGCATACATAAACAAATAATTTACTCTCTTCCAATCTGGAAACCTTTTTTTTTTTTTTTTTTTAAATCATTGTCTAGGACTTCTAATACAACATTCATTATTTAGCACTATCACTTACTTCTTCAGACCCATATTTTTATTACCTTTTTTTTTTTTTTTTTTTTTAATCACTTGCGTTCTGGTTTGGCCCCAGCTTTCTGTCAGTAAATGAAACCTCATTGGTTCCTACCCAGGAAGTTTTCCTGTCTTTTAGTTGGAGTCCTGGTGTGGTACTGTAGAATAAACACTGGTCTGCTAACCAAGAGGTTTGTGGTTCAAACTCACCAGGCCACTCCTTGGAAACCATATACAGGGTCTCTGAATTGAAACTGATTTGACATCTTGGACAGAAGGACTGAGTATTAAAGGAGACTAGCGACAAATGACAAATGTGTTAGCTTCTAGGAGAAAAGATCAATTCAGCATGCTGTATTTATGTTCAGTCTTTAAAACTTTGAATTGTGATTTGGGTGAAGGTATGTAGAGCAGATCAGTTTTCCATTCAACAGTTCACACACATTTTGTTTCCTCTCAATGATTGCAGTCCACACAATACATTCATCCTTGTGTTTCTTGTTCCCATTCCTCCTCCTTTCCTAGCCCTTCTGTATTTTCCCTTGGCTAAATGCTGCCCTTTTCATCTCAAATGGTTGATTCTTGTAAGGAGTGTGTGTGCTTCCCTAGTGTTACTGTTCCCCATATAGGCTTATTTATTGTTTGGCTGAAAATTGAGCCATGAGGGTGAGTTCTGTTCCAGACCTGAAGGATGACTAAATGCCATATAGTCTTGGGGTTCCACAAACAGGGTCTGTATGACAAGTAAGCCTGATGTTTTTTTTTTTCTCCCAGTCTATCCAGGACCTTCTGAAGTTACCTCTTTCAGAGCTGTTGATTGTGATAGTTCTTATGGTCTCAGGGTCGTGGAAACTGAAGTTTGCATGTTCCATTAGTCTATTGGACTAATTGTGTCCATGCCTTTTCAGTTTCCTTCATTTTTCTTTGCTCTGGACAGGGAAGCCACCGATAGTTGCACCTTGGATGGCCGCTAACAGTTAAGATACCAGTTTCTACTCACCAAAGTAAGATGTAGCGCACTGTCTCTCTGGACTGTGTTATATTAATTGCCTCTGATGTTCCTCAAGACTATGGTCGTGAGCCCCAGACCCAGCAACTCGTTCCTCAAGGTTTTCTTTATGCTTCAGAAGTTTCGTTAACTGCCCCATATGTTCTATTAATGATTGTTGTTAGTACCATCGAGTCAGTTCATTGCAACCCTGTACAGAGTTTCCTAGGAATGGCTGGTGAGCTTGAAACCCACCAACCTGCAGTTCAAACCAACTTTGGCTAGGTCACTTTTATGTGGCCTTTCTTGCCATTTTCTTGTAGCGCCCACAAAATTATTGGGTGGAACTTTGCAAATAAGGTGCATGGCACATTTGTTGGAGTGAAACCATGGGAGTAAGATGTATGGAGCCCTAATAAGGGAATTGATTAGTTTTTGTCACCCACTGGGCTTAAAATGAACCATCCCAGAGGTTGGGGGAAGTGGGGGTGGACTCACTGTCACCAAGAAAGAAGAGCAGAATATGTTCTTTGGACCTGGGTTTCCTGTGCTGAGAACCTTCTAGACCGAGGAAACAGCGGTAACACTGGAGATGGTGAGAAACGTTGGTGGGGAACTGGCAGCAGCAGAACCCACAAATCAATAGCTGAGCACCTTAAGGCTAGAGGCTTTCTGGTGGAATGGGGTACCTCCAGGCACTTATTAATGGAGCTAAAGAACTTTGTAATGCTTGTGCACCCTGGTTGGTGGGACAGTAGGTTTAAGCGTTGGCCTACTAACCAAAAATTTAGCAGTTCAAACCTACCAGCTACTCTGGGAGAAAGATGAAGCAGTCTGCTGCTGTAAGTCTGCTTGGAAACCCTATGGGGCAGTTCTACTCTGTTCTATAGGATTGCTATGAGTTGGTAACAATTCAAAGGCAGTGGGTAGGTATGTGTGTATGTGCCCTTATTTATTTTGGTGCTCACATTTTCTCAGACTTGACAGTAGGAAGCACCTTTGCTCTTGTTGCTATACCGTGTGGGTGTTCCAACCATGGTGGTGTGCACATCCTGGCCTTTTGGCACAGCAAGTTCCCAGCTTCTCTTTCCCTCTCACTAACTCAGCCCTGGAATAAGCCATTGCTCTAAGGAACCTTGGTTTCTTCTAGGTGTGGATTAGAATATAGAAACCAAGATCTAGGCATTGTTTCTAGGGTTGTGGGCTTACTAGTACCAGAAGCTTCTAGTTATTGTAAACTTATTATGGGCCAAAGTGCTGATTCTTAGGTGACAGAGCCTGGAATCATCATCACATAACCTGTATAAAGAAGCTGGCTTCTGACCAAAATAGATTGGGGGCGGCTGTTCTGGAGAGACCCGACTGCTGTTAGTGGTGGATAGGGGCGGCTCACTGGGTACCTCCCACCAGGGGTGTTCTCATGGTTGCAGTCACAGTGGCAATGGGAGGAGTGGCGGTACCTCTGTACCTGTGAAGGTGGAGAGTGTCCACCTTCCTGGGGTGCTGACATCCCCCATGTCACTGTACAGTCCTGAAAATTGCTTCTCCACCTTGGTCCAGGTGGAAGAGAAACTCTCGCAGCTTTGTGTTGGGATCTTCTCTCTACCTCAGAGGTCACATGGCCCCTGGCTTGTGCATCTGTTCATTATGACTGAATTGGGTGACCCTGCCTGCCTGCCATTAAAATCTGGTCTACTTAGGTTGCTGCCTATGGCTCAGGATACAGACAGCTCACGCTTTTTGGTAAGCTGTGGAGCAAGAGTAGTGGCAGCTGGCTTTGTAGGTTTGTGTGCAGGGTAAGTGTGTGAGGTGAGATGGGGATCACGTGTCAGAGGAGCACTGTGATGCTGGATTTATTCCTGCGTCAGCCCAGGCCACCTGCAGGGGTGCCTAGCTGTGTCCTGTTGCTTTCATGTAACTGACTCCTGCAGGCCTTCTCCACACAGGCTGGAGGTTCTGGCAGGGATGGAGTAAAGTGTACACACGTGTACTAGAAGAGAATTGACCGGCTATGGTAAAATTAGCTACTGGGTTTTTAGAGGTAAATTGCCAGCCCTTTCTTTGGAAGCACCCTTGGATGGGGCTGAACCTCCAGTCTTTTGGTCTGCTGAGTGCATTAACCATTTACACACACATGGGATCACCATGAACTTGAGTTGACTCAGTGGTAATTGATTTAGCAGTAATACATTCTTTACCACCCCCAAAATAAACAATGAACTGTCATTCCAATTCAGCTTTTACTGAACATCTGTTACACATTAGGCCACAGGAATAGCTTTGACTCGTGTGGAGTCCCCAGGAACTGCAAATGGTCAGCCCATGAGCTTGAGAGTGTGGGTTTAAGGTCAGCTGTGGTATTTTCAGTCGCCTCATATGCATACAAAAGCTGGATAATTAATTGGTGCTGTTCAGTCTGTTCTGACTCAGCAACCCAGTATAGGGTTTCCAAGGAGTGGCTGGTGAGTTTGAACCGCAGGGTTGGCAGTTCAAGCTCACCAGCTGCTCCTTGGAAACCCTGTACACAGTCACTATGGGTCAGAACTGACTCGAAGGCACTTAAAATCAAAGGCAAGAATTGATGTCTTTGAATCGTGGTGTAGGAATAATATTGAATACACCATGGCCTGCTATAAGAACAAACAAATCTGTTTTGGAAGAAGTGTAACAAGAGATGACAAGACTACATGTCTCACATACTTTGGACGTGTGATCAGGAGAAAGACTTCATGCTTAGTAAAGTACAGTGTTTTTTAAAAAAGAACGATTCTCAGTGAGAAGGCTTGACAAAATGACTGCAGCAATGGGCCCAGCTATAGCCATAACTGCGTGGACAGCGGTTCAGTTGTACAAAGGATCACTGTGAGTCAGAACTGACTAGATGATCCTAATGACAACAGTACGACAGACCTGGGTTTAAATCCTAGCCAAACCATGTATCAGCAGTCTGACCTCAGGCGAAAAAAGAGCAGCTGAGGGCATGAGCCTCTGGGGACAAGACAAGTCTCTCTGGGAAGCCACTCCCTGACCTGTCCAGTGAGGCTGGCCTGAGTATTTCGTAGCACCTCCTAGGGTTCTGTGGTGTGAGATGTGTGATGCTGTGGAAGCCACTTGGGGCAAGACTTGGCATCTAGTGAGTGCTTGGGACTTGCTGGCTTGGCTGTGCTATTTTCCCCACTATGTAGGTGAGGGGAGAGGAGACTTGCTCCAGGTTATACCCCTGACACATGGCCCAGGCCAGAGTCAAATGCATGTTCCAGAGCCTGCTTCTTGCCTTCATAACCCAAATGGTGGACAGCAGCCTGGCCACTCTAACCCTGCATTATGTTCATTTGCGGCACCAAAGGTGGGGGGTGGGGGGACTGGGAGTGTCAAACCTAGGGCAGGTGGGCAGAGACTTGGACCCTGTTGCCCCTGAAGGTGACATTCTGCGTTCTAGAAATGGTGACAATGGCACAGATAGAGGGTGGTTCCAGAGCATCATAGTCTCTTGCTGTTATGTCCAGGCAGCACTGGCAGTGCAGAGAAACTAATGGCCTCGATGGCCACTAGCCAGTCAAGAGTCAAGGAGCACACAGTTTATAGCCGCCTCTCCCCAGAAGGTTGCTAGTATGAGCTCTCTTTCCTGGTGATTTGGTGTCCTGGAGCTTGGCACTGTGGGTTCGTGTCACCTGCGGGTTCGTGTCACCTTCCCTGGCCCAGGCAGCCTCCTGCCTGGCCTGCGTCCAGATGCTCCCTCTCCATCCCATGGTCTGGCACTGTGCGACTTTGAGGACTGTTGGTCCTTCCTTTGTCCACAGCTCCAGGGGCCCCACAGACTCGAGTAGAGTTCTGTCCCTGGCAGCCTGTCAGAACCTGCCGTGAGCTCTTACCTCATACTCTTCCCAGAGTTGTGGGCACTCCGTGCCAGCGCAGCACATACTTTTTCAGCCTGAGCCCCAGGTGAGTGGAGGAGAGGAAATGGGATCCAACCAACTAGTTGAAACCATTCCAGTTTGGGCTTGTCACCATGTGAGAGCTCTTAGTGTGCTTTAGAAAACTTGGTACGTGAAAACAGTTTGGCAGTGTGGTTATGAGCTTGTTTGTTCTCTGTCTTTAGAAAGGTGTGAGTATCATGTCTTAAGTGTTTACCACTGTCCCTAGTATATAGTCAGTGGCCTGTGACACAACCTTGGTTGTGTTGCCCCCATCCCCCAGCTTTGCCTGGTACCTGTTTCGCAGTGCCAGTTTTTATATTTCTGGACACTTAGTCCAGACCTCTGTGTGTGTGCGCGCACTCCATTTTCCTTGCTGCCCTGGGCTCTTGCTAATAAGTGGGCTATTCCATTGCAGATGTCCAACATCACAGTCACCTACAGGGATGGCCGAGTGGCACAGCTGGAGCAGGTGTACATCCGTGGCAGCAAGATCCGCTTCTTGATTTTGCCTGACATGCTGAAAAATGCACCCATGTTAAAGAGCATGAAGAATAAAAACCAAGGTTCTGGGGCTGGCCGAGGGAAAGCTGCTATCCTAAAGGCCCAAGGTAGGTGCTACTCGGGCCCAGTAACTGTGACTGCCTGGGGGTAGAGCAGGACCCGGCCTCAACCATCTCCATACCCACTGCCCCCTTTCTCCCAGTCACAGGGGCTCCTTAAAAAGGGGGTAGTCTTGTCTTTGAAGAGTTTATCTTCTTTAATGGCACTGACCTCCTTCCTTCCAGTCCAGCACTGCTGTCTCCAAGAGATTGTGTGCAGAGCACTGAGGGCAGAGGAGCTGGATCCTTAGGACTTAGCTAGCTCAGAGCCAAGATGAGCCAGCTCTCGTCTGTTTTGGTGTGCTGAGCAGATGCACACTGTGTGGAGCTGCTTCAGAGCCACCTGGCCCAAGGCAAACCAGCTTTAAGCCACCTTTACCCAATCATGGACCTTGAAGTTGTACTATTAGAAAATAAGTCCTTTCCTTAGAGCATTCCAGTTGTGGGGCTTCAGCTCCCAGCAGTTAGCCTTAGTAGTCATAGGTTCTCTATTGGGGCCTAGAGCAGCTCTGCCCTGTTGATACACTATATGAGAGCATTAGAAACTGGCTTTGTGTTGCACAAAGACTGCAGAGCTGGGAAGTGCTGGATCTGCCACTAGTACCACTAACTACAGGATTTTTTTATATGAAGCGTTTCAGTTTAAAGATGCAATAGAGCAATTCTTTAAAATGCCCTCCAAGAGAACTCCCAGATACCCTCTGGCCCTTCCTAGCAAGAGGTGGTCACTTTGGCCAGAGGAAACCAGGAGTTCTGTTCCTTTTGTCTTGGTGAAGGAATGAGTTTCAGGAATGCTAGTGTGCTTGCAACACTGTCGTTGTTGGCAGTGTGCACTGAAATGGGCCTTGGCGTTGAGTCTGCCCAGCCCACACTGCCTTCTTCCTGAGGGATCTGGTGTTGCCAGCCTGTGGTGGGGTCTCAAATGACTTCTGGACAGCTCCTGGCTCTGTGAGACAAGAAAGAGATGATGCTCTTGAGTAGTGGCAATTAGAATCTCTGTTTCCACATGTCCTACAGAACCACTGTCCTGCACAGACCCATGGGTCACGGAAAACCACAGAGCTGCCCTTTGTGTGCTTAGTGGGTTTTGTTTGTGTTTTACTGCTGTATAAATATTCCAACGTTGACCAACGTTCACATTTAACCATTTTGTTGCAGAACAGAAAAGCGAAATTAAAGGCATCTGTAATGTTTTGTTGATTATCCTCAGGCTTGCTTCCCCAGGGTCCCTTTTTTCTCAGTGTCTTCGGCCCAGCCTCTCAGAGAGAGCAGCACTGAAGTGGAAGGCAGGAGGCCATTGCCATCTCTGGCTTGGACACAGCAGTCCTCGCCCATTATGAGTGTCCAGTTCTCAGTGTAAATACAGCAGGACAAGGATGGTGGTAGAGGACAGCTTCCTGCTAGCTCTGATGTCCCAGGGTTCCAAGCATGAGCCTGCACTGGCCACCCTAACCTGTGTGCTTTCTCTCCCCTCACCCCCAGTGGCAGCAAGAGGACGAGGACGTGGAATGGGACGTGGAAACATCTTCCAGAAGCGAAGATAATTTCACCTGTTGAACAGAACTCAGCCCTCTTTTTTTTTTTTTAAGATTAGCCATGTAGGGGTAAAGGGTACTTATATATATGTCTTAGGTTTTCTTTTGATATCTTTCTCATGAGATGTGGGGAAATATTAAGCTAAATAAATAGGCTTTTTGTTTTTGAGAAAACAAAGACTCTGTGTTCATTTTGGAACCCCAGTGATGCAGTGGTTAAAGTGCTTGGCTGCTAACCACCACAGCCTCTCTGTGTGAGAGAGGTGTGGCAGTCTGCTGCTTCATAAAGATTGTTAGCCTCAGAAACCCAGTGGGCCAGTTGTGCTTCATCCTGTAGGGTTGCTATGAGTCGGACTCTACTTGACAGCAATGTGGCTTTGGAGTGTGGTGTTCTGTTTGCTTTGGCAGCTGTTTAAATTGTGACACCCTGGGAGGTATCTTGGGAGGACGCCAGCACTTCCACAAGTAATTGAGTTATTGGTGAGATGTTTTAAGTTGCTGTTCCGGGACAGTTAACTGGTTACATCCCAGTAAAGTTTTACCTCAGAGAAACTCTGGATCTTGTTGTCTTCAGATGCAGGCTCTTAATGAGTAACAATAAACTCAGCTTTTAACAATGCAGCATAGGGGGTCGTAGCCCCCGAAAAACTACAGTGCTCTGACCACTGGTCTGGGAAAGCCTACTGGTTCTGGATCTGCTGAAGAACTCTAACCTTAAAAAGTGAGTCAGAGGTGACTACAGGGAAGTGAAGAGACAGCCTGCAAAACGGGAGAGAGCTTGGAAGCCATATATCTATCTGATAAGGTTTAGCCTGAAAGAACTACAATTCAAAGCAAGAAAGAATCCGATTTTAATAGACAGAGGTCGTCGATAGACATTCTCTAGAGAAGACACACAAATGACGAGTGAGCACATGAAAAGATGGTCATTGTTATTAGGGAAATGGAGTCAAAACCGTAATTAGGTGCCACTTCACACCTACTACTGTTATAGTCAAGTCAATTCTGACCCTTGTGACCTTAGATTATGAAGGAAAGTTGCCAATTCCTGTGCCATCTTCACGATTGTTGATGTTTTGAGTCCATTGTTGCCTATTGTGTGTTATTCATCAAGTCGACTCCGACTCAGAGCGACGCTGGATAGGGTTTCCAAGGAGCAACTTGAATTTGAACCACCGACCTTGTGATTCAAACTGACCTTGTCCAGTGCTCATCCTACAGCTCCACACGAGGACTTCAGGCCCAGTATATAGTGCCTTCCAACCTAAGAAGCTCATCGAGCACTGTATTAAACACATCTGTGGTGATCCATAAGGTTTTCATTGACTAATTTTTGGAAATAGCTAGCCAGGCCTTTAGTCTGTGTTAGTCTGGAAGCTCCACTGAAACCTGTTCACTGTGGATAACCCTGCTGTGATTTTAAATACTAGTGGCACCGCTTCCAGCGTCATAGCAACATACAGGCTACCCCAGTGTGACACATTGGCTGGTGGTGGCCATACCCACTTGGACGGCTGTTAGAAAAACAAAAAAGAACAGGTGTTGACAAAAATGTGGAGAAATTGGAGCACTCGTGTCCATTGCAGCATTACAATAGCCAAAGGTGAAAACAGCCCAGTGTCTTTTCGACAGATAATGAATGGAGAGATTGTCTTTTCAAACGAATATTATTTAGCCATAAAGAGAAATGAAATTCAGACCTATGCAATGACTAAGAAAATCAGAATGGACTCCTGTTTTATGTTCCCATTTATATGAAATAGCATAAACAAGTATAGAGAGGCCCAAGTGTGTAGTGGTTCCTGAGGGAGGAGGGTGGGCATTATTGCTAAGGGGTACTGAGTTTTTGTTTGATGTAGTGAAATGCTATGAGGAATACAAAATGCTGAATGACTTTGTGGCACTGAACTATTAATGATTTTATACAGGCATTTTTTTGTTACATATATTTTATGACAATTTATAAGTAATTCAGGGACCTTTTTGACCAGTACCTGTAGCTCCCCTCCTGGCTACATACAAGCTGTGTTTTGTGGTGAGGGGAGATGGTGGTCAGTTGGTCTCCATGTTGATTTTGCACATGCCTGTATTCTAACGCAGCATAGGTAATCTTGACTAGATTTGTTGTGAAGTGCTATCTAGTCGGTTCCACTCAGTGACCCTGGACAGGGTTTCTGAGGAGTAGCTGGTAGTTCTGAACTGCTGACCTGTGATTTGCAGTCCAGTGCTGATCCTATAGCACCACACCAGATGTCTAACTCCCAATACTACAGAATTTGGAAAAGCAGCCTGAAGAAGCCCAAGAAAGTCCAACACAGCCATTAAACTGGCCTCAAGTGGTTTGCCAGCAGGCTTTGTCATGTAACCATTACATTGCTGTAAAAATGGCTTGGTGGCACCAGGCCTCTAAATTCACAAGAGACTCGGAGGTCAACCTTTTTACCAAGTCTGACACCAGTTGTCCCTACTTACCTGTTGGGTTCAATAAATTGTTGCAGTGGCCACATGGAACTCACAGATCATAATAGTTACTGGATTTATTAAGGAAGATGTGAAGTGCCAGTAAGTCAGTCATGACCCAGCAACCCTGAAGAAGGTTTCTGAGACTAAGTTTTACAGGGGCAGAAACCCTCATCTTTCTGCTGGGGAGCAGTTAGTGGGCTCAAACTGCTGACCTTGTGGTTAGCAGTCCAGTGTTTATCCTATAATACCATAGCACTCCTGTTATTAAGTAACAGCTTACAATTCAGGTTTGAGAACAACTCAGGATACAGTTCTTCAATTAGGACAGCTTCTCGGCTGTGCCAGCAGGTACTCGGGCCTCTGTTGACTCTCAGCACCTTGGCCCCTGCCCTGCTCAGGCAAGTGTTGACAAAGCTTTTTAGCTCTACCAGTAAGTACCTGGAGGCACCCCGCTCCACTGGGAAGCCTGAAGGCACTCAACTCTCCATGCATCAGCACACCCACTCTAGCTGCCTCACTGTGCCGGGAAGCCCACTGCACTGATTTGGTTCTTCAGACTCCATTTCTCTGCTGCTGGACTCTGCCATACTAGCATTTTGTACCATCTACTGTCTTCTCTGTCTCCTAGGCCCCGGAGGTTCACAATATAGAGAACCTCTTGGATCCAAAAGACATGTTCAGCTCCTGGATTTTATGTAGTAGGATCCTCCTCAGGCTCTGGGACTGGCTCCCGTCAAGCTTAGTGGGATGCATTATTGACAAGCTGTCAAACCCATTTAGTGGGCCATAAGCACCTTATTTGCATAGCCTACCCAGTCATTTTGTCGGAGTTGTTGGCCATGGCTAGACAGGCCATGTTAACATTGACTGCACTGCAATTACCCAGAAATGACAGCCGATATTGCTATAATAGGGAACAACAAAAAAGCCTCAATGAGTTGGTTAATTATCAGTCATGTAAAATATGACCTCAGACGAGCTCCTCAAGCTCCTCTTGTGTCTGCTAGTATTCCAGGAGCCCCATCTCCAACACAAGAGTAAGGTGTGATTAGTGACTGCAGGCAATGGTGTTCCTGCTCAGGTGCTATCAGACCTATGTCCTTTTTCAAGTGAATTTACCCAGTGTGAACGGAATGAAATTGCTTTTAGATTTAACTAAGTAAATTGTCTGATAAAAGAAACAGGTATAAGCTGCACTGCCACTAACAACCCTGCATGAACTTCTTCCCCTCTTCCTGTTGGTGGTGCAGTGGTAAAACATTGGACAGCTAGCTGCAAGGTCAATTGTTCAAACCCACCAACTACTCTGCAGGAGAAAGATAAGGCTGTCTGTCCCTGTAAAGATTTACAGGCTCAGAAATGAGAGCAATTCTACTCTGTGCTAATTCAGGGTTATTGTTAGAATTGAGGTAGTGGGTTTGGTTGAAGGGTTTTTAGATTAAGTGCAAGGTGCTATTTTAATTAGTCCATTACTGTGATGGATTGTGTGTTACTGTGATTCTGGAAGCTATACCAGGGGTATTTTAAATACCAACTGGTCACCCATAGAGGACTGGTTTCAGCTGAGCTTCCAGATAGAGGGACTAGGAAGAAGGAGAGAGGACTACTACAAATATTTAGTCACTGAAAACTATGAGTAACAGTGGAACACTGTCAATGCCAGAGTATTGAATATTGAAACATGATGAAGAGAACCAGAGTATTATCAGATGTAGTACAGAAAGATGAGCCCCTCAGGTTGGAAGGCATTCAAATTGCAATAGGGGAAGAGCTGCCTCCTCAAAGTAGAGTTGATGGAGATGACCTTGTGGTTAGCCTTTGAGTAAAGCCTTTGAGACCTTCGTTTGCTGATGGGGCACAACTCAAAATGAAGAGAAACAGCTGTAAACATTCACTAATAACCAGAACATGGAATGTACGAAGCATGAATCTAAGAAAACTGGAAATTGTCAAAAGTGAAAAAGAATGCATAAACATTGGTACCCTAGGCATCAGTGAGCTGAAATGGACTGGCATTGGCCATTTTGAATCTGACACATGGTTTACTATGCCAAAAATGACAAATTGAGGAAGAAAGGCATCGCATTCATCATCAAAAAGAACATATCAAGATCTGTCTTGAAGTACAATGCTGTCTGTAATAGGATAATATCCATACACCCACAAGGAAAACCAGTTAATACCACTATTAGTCACATTTACACACTAACCATTAAAGCCAGTAATGATGACACTGAAGAACTCTACTAACTTATTCAATCTGAAATGCATCAAACATGCAATCAAGATGTGTTGATAATTACTGGCAATTGGAATGCAAAGGTTGGAAATGAAGAGGAAGGATCAGTAGTTGGAAATTATGGCCTTGGTGATAGAATTGATGCTGGAGATCACATGATAGAATTTTGCAAGACCAATGACTTCTTCATTGCAAATACCTTTTTTAAACAACATAAAAGATGACCTCACCAGATGGACTACCTAGAAACCAAATTAACGAACATTTGTGCCATATCATCAGCCAAAACAAGGCCAGGAGCAGACTGGAAGAGACCATCAATTGATCATATGCAAGTTCAGGCGGAAGCTGAAGAA